CCGCCGCTGCCGCCGCCGCGCCGCCGGCCGCAGCGCCGGGGCCGCGCTCGGCGGGCGCCAAGGGGCGGGCTGCCAAGGCCACGGCGGCGGCGACGGCCACGGCGGCGCCGGTGGTCGTCACCCTCAGTGGCTTCCACGCAGACGGCCGCGAGCAGCTGGCCGCAGCCCTGCGGAAGCTTCCCGGCGTGCGCTGCCTGGGCACCGCGCATGTGTTCGAGGCCGGCACGACGCACGTGGTGGCTCCGGCCCTGAAGCGCAGCGACAAGACGATGGCGGCCATGGCGGGGGGTGAGCGGGGGGGAGGCGTTGGGAGCGTCAGCGGGGGGCGCCTCGCGCCTCGCGGTGCACGAAAGGCCTGCAGGCGCGCCTGTTTCTAGCACACTCAGACATGTCAGCACAGAGGATGATATGTTTCAAGCGCTCAGGGGCAAGCCCTCGCCTCGATGGGGATGCATGTGACGTCCAAACCCGGCCGCGACCTTGAACTTGGCCCCGCCCGCCGCGCGGCCCCTGACAGGCACTGCGTGGCTGGTGGCTGATTCGTGGGTTGAGGACAGCGTGCGGGCGGGGCGGCCGCTGGACCCCTCAGCCCACGAGCTGCAGGACTGTGAATCAGGCGCCATCTCAACCGGTGCGGGCCGCCGCGGCAGCAACAAAGAGGGGGTTGCCCGGCGTCATGCCGCGCGCACGGCATGGTTTCGCTAATTGATGCTGCTGGGCCTTCCGCTGCGCTTGTGCATTCGTCTGCTGTTGTTTGCAGCATGGGTGGGACAGGGCGGACCGCGTCAGGGGCCATAAGCTGGCCTTGCAATGTGCAGGAGGGCGGCACGCATTATGCGTTTGGCCAGGGGGGAATACCATTCATCTGGTTCGCGATCGCCCCTGCAAGCGGTCCTTGTCAGGATTCCAATTGCATTTCGGTCACTGTGCCTCGTGCCCGCCCCGCCCCGCATGACGCCCACAGGCGCCCCCCGCCACTGGCGCCTCCGCCGCGCCGCGACCGGTGCCGGCGCGTTTGCCGGGCTGCGGGTCCTGCTGCACGGCGCGTTTGAGGCGCCAGACGCAGACACCCTCGAGCGCATGGTCACCGCCGGCGGCGGCGAGGTGCTGCGGCAGGGCCCGCCCTTCGACGCTGAGCTGGCGGAGGGCGGGGGCGCTGACCTGGCGGTCGTCGGGGGCCGCAAGGGGCCGGGCGACAGGTGAGAGGGGGCGGTGGTGGTGGTGGGGTGGTGGTGGGGCGTCCGGGTGCGGGAGGAAAGCAATTTGTCGCGATGCAGCAACTGGGCGCTGCTGCGATGCAAAGCAAGTAATGGATCCAGGCCAACACGTGCTTGCTGACGCCTGATTGGGCCCTGTGGGTGGCGCGTCGGCACCCGCGCCGCACAGCCCTCGGGTGCCACGCCCCTGCTTGCGACCGTGCGCGGCCGAATCGCGCATCTCGCGACGCACCCATGCCCGCGCGGCAGGTGGGTGCGCGCGTTCAAGGCTGCCGGCGTGCCCTGCGTCTCGTCTGCCTACCTCGTGGACTGGGTGGCCCACCCCTGGACCGAGCTGGGGCCCCACCGCCTGTTCGGCACCGCGCCCGGGCGGAAGCTGGCAGCGCTCGAGGCGGCGCGGCGCGCGGGGGGCAGCACCGCCAGCAGGGCGGAGGCGGAGGCCGAGGGCGCCCGGTCAGCCTCTTTTTGAGAGGCGCGTGGCAACAGAGTGCTGCAATGGGGTTTCCGGGCCGTGGCGGCTGCAGCGGGCGGTGCGCTGAGCAGTTGGTTGACACTTTGTCGTCGATCTGTGCCTCCACAAATGGGTTGGGCGCCCACTGTCTCCTGTTGCGTGCCGTCACGGTGTGATCCAGCCTGGCACCTGCGTAGGCATGTAATGATATGACGCAAGCAAACGATAGGTGCCTGCTGTCCTTTTTTTCACCAAGAATGGCCAGCAGGCTCCCAGCGGTCCAAAGTCGGTTTGGCAAGCTGCCCGCCTACTGTTGTCCAATCCACCGCTTGTCGTCTGGGGATGGCGCGCCTGCATCTATTGGGGCTCTGGTGGCCTGAGTTCTGCAATGGGGACAGCCCAACATGACAAGACCCTAGAGCTGTTTCGGAAGCAATAGGATAGATTAATGGAGGAGTGGCATCGCCCCTGTGGCATCACCGCTGTAGCATCACCCCTGTGGCATCACCCCTGTGCTTCAAGTGTGCCAGGGCAGGCACCTGCCAGCTTTGCTGCGATGGCCCAAGCCGCACTCCCCGCCCTCCCCCCCCTCCATGTGAAAAAATTGGTGCTCCAGTGCCCCGCAAGTTACAGTTGCGGCGATGGTATTCTTGTAACATTGTTCAGCACCACGCAACCAAACTATGGGAATGTGCGGCGCCAACGGGGCGCTTTGTCAGCTCTGGGCAGCTGTGGTCGACCGGGACAGTGGGGGCTTTCAAGAGGGGATGGGTCGTCTGAAGCAATGGGGGAGGGGCGTTGCCTGGAGATTTTTGCTGGTATGCCCCTGCCGGAAGCGAGGCAGCGGGCGCGAGCAAGCGAGGCAGCGGGGCAAACCAGCAAAAGCCCTCCAGGCAACGCCCCTCCGCAATTGCTCCCGACGACCCGACCGGCGCCAGTCGCACTGGGCAGCATGTTGCCGAGCATATTGACCAAGCTGCTTCGTAAAATTCATGCAGCAACGAGGGTTCAACTGCCGCGTGGCGCCCGGCGTGGCCATCCACCGTAGACAAGTACGGTGGACACTGCCCATGCGCATGGCAGGTGTGGCAAGCAGCGGTGCGCTCAAATAAATTGGGATATCCCCGCCCGTGCTCTCTACACCGGTATATCTCGGTACATCTTGTGAATCAATAAGTCTCTATCTGACTTAGGCCTCCTGTGACCAGACGATCTGGCAGCGAGTTACTGAAATTGACTACTCGCTTGCATCAGAAGCCCGATTGGCCAAGATAATAAACATAAAGCGCCGAGTCTCGCACTCTCAGTCTTACGTAGTGCACTCACGGATTTGCACCAAGCACGCCGACGCAACACCTGGCAACTCAATTCTTGCGAGAGCGAAATGACGTCTATCAACTTAGGCTGCGGGGCAGCTCAACGGCTGCAATCCAATCGGCAGCAGCCGCTGCGATGCAGCGCCAGTCCTGCTGCCGCACGCTTTGCGCCGTTTTACCTCGCGCCCGCGAGGTGAGGCTCGTTGTGTTGAGACTGCTCCGGCTACGCGTGTCAGTTGCGCCTGTGCCTGATATATGTGCACATTGCAACCCAGGGCCTGCAGAGCGACGAACTTCATGGGAGCAACTGCCTCGAGTGCGGCATGCAGCAGCATTGCCGTGCCAGCAGCGGCGCCGGCCCCAGCTTGGGGCGCGCCGCTGAGGCGGGCAGGTGTGCGAACGCGCGCCGCGGGGATGGACGCGATGCCCGTGTGGACGCTGGACCAAGTGGCAGGCCTCGTGTTTGGGGTGAGCGCCGCTGTTGGCGGGCTGCTGGGCGATCGATGCTGTGGTCGCGCAAAGCGCTCGCACAGCTCCGCATGAGGGGCTATTAATTTAGCGATCGTGCCGCAGCGCCCAAGCCGCGCGCTGCATATGCGCGGCCCCAAGCGCGCTCGCATGGCGCGGCAGGGGTGCGTCCCTGCGGTTGCGGCACGCGCCCGCTGCTCGGCAGGCCTCCCTGGAAAGGTCCATGTGCACAAGCGTTCCGCGCCTCTGCGCGCACATGCTACAAGCAAATTCTCTCCTACACACACACACACACACACACACACACACACACACACACATACACACCGCACACAATCTTTTTCTTTGCTTTGATCCGCGGCGTGCAGGGGGTGATGGTCGCGTTCTTTGCAGGCGCACCGCAGGTCGACATTTGGGTGGCCAAGCAGCAGCGGCGGCAGCTGGGGCTCTGCGAGCGCTGCGGCGGGGTCAATGAGCCGGGCAGCTGCAGGGAGGCAGCGTGCCCGTTGCGAGCGCAGGGCCAGGCGAGTAACGGCGGCGGCGGCGGCGGTGGCGGCGCAGGAGGCGTCTGAGCTCTGCGCTGGTGGCCCGCCCAGTTTGATGTGATCGCTAGATGTGCGAATCCGTGAAATGCTGTAATGAGAGATGGCCCCAGCTTATCTGCCAGACCCTGTCGATTTGCTGCTGTTTCGATTCAAGCATCAGTATATATTGGCGGCTGTTTCGATTCAAGCTTCAGTATGTATTGGGGGAGCCAGCACGGAACCGCCATGCCTGGAGTGTGCTAGTGCACAGACGCGCCGCCAGACCATGGGCCTGTGTGCATGCTGGCGTTTTCCAAAGCTTTGGGCTCTAAGAAGAAATCGGCTGATGATTGCAGTGCAGGAGGATGAAGAAGAGTTCACTGGTGGTTTGCAGCTGGTCTTTTTCCACAGATGGGCAGGCACAGCAGCCACAGTCTCTGCAAGCTGCATCGCTGCGACGAAAAACGTGGCACAAGCCTAAGCATGCCCCAATCTGCACTACATTGTCAGTCTGCCTAAGCTATCAGCACAAGCAGAATCGGCGCTGCGAGCCGTTAGCTCAGCAGATAGGCACGAAAAAACGCTGGACGTAAGGCCTGGCTAAAACTTGCTCAACAGGATCAAGGTGCCGGCAGCCATGCCTCAATTCCAAATCTGCTGCATGTCGAGATGCCTTGCCACCCCAGGAGCTCCAGGCCAGGGCTGGCACACAGGCTCGTTGCACAGCACACTTTTGGTTTGGGGCGGTTCGACAGAGCTGCCGTGAACCCGATCAACAGTTTCACTCTTTGAGCCAGGCACCTGTGACACACCCCTACACATGCCATGCTTTGTAAGTGACCCTACCACCCGTCCCTGCCGCACATGTGCACGGAATTGACAGGCGGCCCGCCGCACTGCCGGCAGCAGGCGTCTCGCAATCTGGGCACGAGTCGCAATGACCTCCGCCCACGTGGCGCGCGCACAGGCCTCCCTCCTCGCTCTGCACCCTGTTGTATTGCCCCTGTATGGTGCAGCCACTCATATCTTGACACAGCAATTGCGAGAAGCAGGATACAGGGACAGCTGAAAGGTCGGCAATCTTGACGGGTGCATGGGCTGAATCGAAGGCCGAAGGTGCGTTGACTGGGCAACACCCTGCCAGCCACCACATTGCAGGTGTGTGATTCAGCCTGTGCCGACAAAGAAGTAACGTGTGGTTGTGATGGCCCCTGGCTAAGGTGCGCCGTCACGGCTCGCCGCCCGCATCACCCCTTCCTGGGTGGTGTGGGTGTGTGCGGGAAGGAATGACGCGGGTGACTGCGGGTGATGTCACACAAATGCATCAGTATATACAGCATCTTCACGAGCGTGCTTGCCATTCCCGACTTGCACATACCCCTCCGCCGGATTCGAAACAACTCGAAGCCTTTTCGCAACCGTCTGATCTCCGCAATCAACATCCAAGATGTCCGAGGCCTACAAGGTAGGTTGTTTTGACGCAATCAGGTGCCACCCCGCTTCAATGGGGTTGTTGGTGTGATCCTTTGTGTGTGTGGCGGTGACAGCGCCGGCGCTTGTGTCACCCCTCTCGTGCCTCTCTACCCTGGCCTATCAGGAGGACCGCAAGCAGGAGGTGGCTCAGGAGAAGTACAACGCCAACTTTGAGGAGCTGTCCGGTGTGTGATTTCGTGTGCAGCCTTCGCATCATTCTGGGTGGCTAGATCTGCAAATCCTTGGAGATCATGAGAGGATGAGTAGGATTACTTTTTTCTCCCCTCCTGCTCTTCCCCACAGGCAAGGAGCGCCAGTCTGTGGGTGGCACTGTTGGTGGCGAGATGCGTAGGGAGCAGGTGCGCGCATGACAACTGTTGACATTTGTGTTTTTCTGTCGTGGGGCGCTGCATCGAAGCATGAGCTGTGAGTGCGCGATGTCTTCCAGCTTGTCTAAATATTCTACCTCACACCTGTCTCATGTGGTTCCCTTCTCCCTTCTTATCGCATCCCAACCGCAGATGGGGGAGGGTAAGGGTGGAGATGTTCATGCCGCTTACGCCGAGATGGGGTCCAAGGGTGGCCAGGCCACTGGTGGTGACACGCAGTGAATTGCCCCTGACTGTGAACATGCTGACTGATCATGATAAATGCTCCGCACCTTTTTTGCGGGTTTTGTTGATATATGATCATGATGCATGACAGGCTGTGTTCAATTCGCTTGCAACGTATTGCTGTGCATGGTGGTGAAGGGAAGAATGGTGTGCATGCACATGACAACGTTGCAGGTGGTTGAATGTGGTTGACTGATGTGTGTGTTGCACAGCAATGTACACTATTTGGATGTGTAACCTGACGCGGCTGCTATTATCACCATCGGAAATGTTATGTTCAGCACAACAGTTGCCCCAAATGTGCCAATAACACAGTGTGCATAAGTTGAAACAACTCAGCTGTACGAAACCCTTACAACACAACCATATATCCTTGAAGTGTAGTCAAAATGATGAAGAATGATGTGTGAAAACAGTGCATATGCTGGGCAAGTTTGCAGCAATAACAAAAAGGTTTGATTATAACCAACCAATCATATCCACATTTGATGCTGGTAAAATCAATGTTACATTTGTATATTATGTGCAGTCCCTAATGAAAGTACAACTATAAACTACCCAAAGTTCAAATAAATTGCTTGATACATATGTGATGTTGCACTTGTTTACAGTGTGCCACCACGTCCATACTATCTGGCCTCCTGCTGCATGTGAATATCTGTACCTGGTGTCTGCGGTGCAGGGCTCTCTAGTACAAGCAGCAATTGTGCGCCGTTCCCCACTGCAGCCCGCAGAAAGATCACCAATTCTAAACTGCCATCACCAGAGAGACTGGTGGCGAAGCATGATGGTGCCGAAAGCTTACTGTCCAAATTCCACCTGCAGAGATTGAGACATGGGGGTGAGGTCGATTGGGAGGGCCAACCCTCCTGATACAGTCAGAGAATATTGTCACTCTGCAAAACCTTCATAGCACCGCATGGCTGTTCATATTGCAGCAGCACCAAGGGTAGCTGTTACGCGCTGGTGGTGCCTTCAGTTACTGCACGCCGCTGCAGCCCCACACAGCTCGCCAACGCCCCTGGCCCCCGCCCGCCCGCCAGTCCCAATCCCCGCTCACCACGCGCCACCAAGCTGCTTGACTGCGAGCCAGTGGCGGCCACCCGTGAGCCGTGCCCACAGCCCTGGACCGCGTATGTTGAGCACCAGGCCGACGAGCCCCTCGTGCTGGAGGTCTAGGCGCTCGAGGGATGCATCTCTTGAGTCATGCCAGGCCACATCCTGGGGTGGGCCCACAGGCAAGCGTCCACGCAGCACGCGCGACCGCATGATGGAGTTTGTGTGTGCGTGTGTGTGTGTGTGTGTGTATGTGTGTGTGTGCACGTGTGCGCGTGTGTGTGTGTGTGTGTGTGTGTGCGCGCGCGTGTGTGTGTGTGTGTGTGTGTGTGTGTGTGTGTGTGTGTGTTCGAGCGCCGTTTGTCTCGAATCAGCGAGCCGCACAGGTGCTGCCCGGCGTGGCTCAGCAGGTGCACGCGCGCTTACCAGCCGCAGCGGAGAGAGGACCGCCATGAGGGTGTTGGCGTCCCAGTTGCCCGCCAGAAACGGGAGGCCGCGGTTGCGCTGCGCCAGGCCACCGAGGCCGTCTGTCGCTCGGTCCAGGTCATCAGCTGTGAACTCTGGCCGCTGCAGCAGGTTGTTGAGTGTGTGCAGCAGGCACTGCTGCTGGCTCTGGCGCTCCTGTTGCATGGAGGCAGGTACTAAGCTGTCTTGGAGGGATGCTATGCACAGGCATGTGAGGAAGCGCTCTGCACCAGATCGCCAGGGCATGCTGTCGCTGCGCGATCGCTTATGCTGATGCAGCGGTTTCATTCAAGTCACCTCCGCAGCAATGCGGGGCACAAGCTAGACAAAAAGCAGAGCCTCACAAACACTCACATGGTACATTGCAGTATCCAGCGCGCCGCATACTGCAGTTTGCCGCTAGTACAGTGCCACCGAGATCATCCGAAAGGCGTCTGCTTTGTACACAGTTCATTTTTGTTGTGCGAAAGATCCGCATATACTGAACCAAGCACAACCCCATCGGATTCCGTGCCGCTGGACAGGGACTGGACGTCCCACGAATCCATGCTCACGGACAGTCGCGGACGTACGTACTTCGACAGCGATGCTCAGGGCAGCGGAAACGTTCCTGCTGGTCCCTGTGCTCCTGGCGGCGGTTGCCAATGCGGCAGTCACCGCTCGCGCTGATGACGGTGCGTCCACACTGGGTGGGGGGGGGGCTGGACCACTTGCGAATCCGGCCGGCGCAATAACAACTGTGCTAGCATTCACGGAACGCTTCTACAGCAGCAACCGCCGCTCTCACGTATGCCGTGCCCAGCCGCCGGCCCCTGCGGCCTTCACTCGCTCTCCCACCCGCCGGCCACCGCAGGCCCGGCCGCGGCCCCTGCCCTCCAGGGCCCCGCCGCCGCCTTCGACCCGTCCAAGGATATATACGCGCTGTCCCACATCAACGTGATCGTACCCAACGTCACCAAGGAGGCTGCTTACTACCGCCGGCTCCTCGGGTGGGGACGGCGCGCATGACGGCGCACCAAAACGACAAGACATGACGCAAAAGATGCATGACATGATTGAGCCACGGGTGCATACTGGCTGATACCCATCCGTGTTTGTTGTTGCGGCAGAGAGCGCAGCGGCCGCCTCTGCTTGCCACGGGGCGGCCTCTCGCCCACTCATGCGACCCCGCCCCATGCATGCCCCGTACTGTCCCGGTGCAATCATTGATGATCAACGCCCAGTGGCCGGGCCTGGCTAGCCTACGCAAAATCCATCCAAGCGCTGCCCCCCCCCTTTCCCGCCCTCGGCCCCCCGGCCCCTTGCTCTTGCGCAAAGATGGCGCCCAGCGTCCAATCAGGACGGCCCCATGCGCTACATGAACGTCAGCCTGCCCGGATTCTGCGTGGATGCCGGGCTGCCGGCCGGCTGCCGCCTGGATGTCGTGTTCTTGAAGCACCCCGCCATAGGCATGTTCCTCGAGCTCTTCACGTAAGCCGGGAACACGGAGCCTTTGTGCAGCACCCATTCCCGCGGGCTCCGCTTGGGTGGGCGCAGCGGTGGGCGCGCCGAGGCGCCTCCCTCCCTGCGGAGTTCGCAGGGAGGGCTTGGTTTGTAGCGCCGCACATGCGGCTGTCTCCAGCCCGAAAGCCCTCGCCTGTATGTGCCCAACCTTCCCAAAGCCGCACCCTCGCAGTCAACCGCCGCCAACCCAAGCACGCCTTCGCTGTCACCCCCACCCCACCCCCAAAAACCCAGCTACTACGCGCCTCTGGATGGCAAAAAGCTTGCCGCCTCGCGCATCTATGATGCGGGCGGCATACGCCACGTGGCCCTGGAGGTGCGTTGGAGCGCAAGTGCGCGCCAACGGGCGCCCTGCAGTTGTGCACCCGCTATCACTGTCGCTGCAGCCGCACTTGTGCGGCGAGCGCGGCGCTTCAACCCTCGGGGTTATTACAGAGCCTTCATGTGGTCATGTGTGCATTTGTGTGTGGGTGTGCGCATCGAATGTGTGTGCAGAAGTGCGTGTGTGTGTGTGCTCTTGCACTGATCGCGGCCATCTGACACCTTGGCGCCCTCACTATTCCAGGTGGAAGACGTGAGGGCGGCGTACAAGCACTATAAGGCGCTGGAAGCCAAGGGGCTGGCGACGGTGCTGACGTCATCGGAGCCCCAGAGCCTGGACCCCTTCCCCCTGGGTGGGTGTACGTGCACAGCTTGCTGGCCTGCACGTTTCCTGCCCTCAGTTTCTCATCAGCTCGTTCGGCATGCGCCCGTCCCACACACGCAAACGCACGCATGCGTGCAGCTGCTGGGAGCCGGAAACCCCCTTGCACCGCTCACTCGTGCTGCCGGACTGCGTCCGACCCGCTTGTTGTCCCCTGAACCCCTAGCTAGCAAGATACCCGGGGTGGACACAACTGCTCCAGCGCCGGTTCCGCCGCCGGCTGTGCGACCGCCTAGGCCCCCCGCCCCCGCCCCCACCCC